GCCCCTACAGAGTTAGCATGGCTATCCCTGCCCCTACATAGTTAGCATGGCTATCCCTGCCCCTACATAGTTAGCATGGCTATCACTGCCCCTACATAGTTAGCATGGCTATCACTGCCCCTACAGAGTTAGCATGGCTATCCCTGCCCCTACATAGTTAGCATGGCTATCACTGCCCCTACATAGTTAGCATGGCTATCACTGCCCCTACAGAGTTAGCATGGCTATCGCTCCCCCTACATAGTTAGCATGGCTATCACTGCCCCTACATAGTTAGCATGGCTATCACTGCCCCTACAGAGTTAGCATGGCTATCCATGCCCCTACATAGTTAGCATGGCTATCACTGCCCCTACAGAGTTAGCATGGCTATCGCTCCCCCTACATAGTTAGGGACTAATTTCCCAATGGAATCAGCTTCATAGTCATGTTGGGAGACTTCTTTGATTTTATTTATTTAGCTCAGGCTACTTGTAGGCCTACCGTCCGCCAAATGTTGAAAGGGCAAAATTACACAGTATATCACGGTCTAGCACAGGGCTGCTCAAGTTCAGTCCTCAAGAGCTACCATCCTGTAACTTTTAGATGCAGCTCTTCTCTAACACACCTGAATCTAAACGCTCAATCCCCTCATTTAGCCCAGCAGAGGCAAGGTAACGAGCCACTCATTTCGTTCAGGCGTGTTAAAAATGGGGTGCATCAAAAAGTAGTCCTCAAGAGAGTATTTCGTGAGGACTGGACTTGAGCACCCCTGGTCTAGCAGTTTTTGTTGATTTTTTTTCCAGTTTTGTTATCTATCAGTTAAAACTTATTCGGTCATTAGACAGGCTAACGCTACAGATGCTCCTGACTCGGCACAGTGATGCTGGTCGATGCTATTATCGTTTAGCTTTGTTCTGCATGCGGTCAAAGGTTTTATTTTATTCTCAATATTTTTATTGACTACGGGAGAAATGTGACCTTTGGCTGAAAGTTTCCACCAAATGTGGATCTGGATCATTCGAAGCCAAATCTTCGTCATATTTGTGTCCATGGCAACCAGCCTGATGATGTTTTTGGTTATGGGGGAATGGCTCCGTTTCCGTGGTAACCCCGAGTGATGCTGTGAAGCCGGTTTGCGTTTTTGCATGACTTGGTTTGATCCGGTTGGTGTCGGATCGATGCTCAGCGTCTTTTCTCTTCCTCCTCTCTTCAGGGGAGGGCCTCTCCTCCTCACGCCCCTCCCTCCTCCGCCGCCCCTCCCAGGCCTCCTGCTGCACCCCTCCCCCGTCCCCCCGTGCATCCTATGTGTTTGGACGCCTCCTCTCTGGCCACTCCTCCTTCCCCCGCAGCGCTCCCACCCTTTACGGCCAGAACAGGCACCTGTCGGAGCCCCTCCCACCTGGACTGAGCCTGCCTCTTCATGGCCACGCCCCCTCAGGAGGAGCTCCACGCCGCCGCTCTGCCCCGGAGAAGCTGATTGGAGGAGATGGGATTCCTGAGGTGCTGATTTTCCCTCCTGAGGAGGAGACATTTACCCCGGATGAGGTCCAAAACCAGCCGGCTCCTAGGGGCCAAACAGGCAAATAAGATGCATGGCATGGCGTCCAACCCCCACCCCCCCCCCACCCCCACCCCCGCTGGTCCTACTAACATCCTGCTCTTCTTTTTATCTTCTGATCTGCTGCATCAGACTCTGCTCTAGATGAAGGAAATGACCCTGACATACCCTGTCTATACATTTTAGTTCTATATCGCTGTAACTTATAACTGTTTCGCATATTTAATTATCTTTTTATCTTTTTATCTCATTCAGTAACCTAGTAGGTTCCTGCTTTGTTATATTTTATAAATGTGTCCCAATCAGTGTATAGGAAAACGTTTTTTCTTTTTTTCTAAACGGCATATAATCTAGCTGGCAAATTAATTGGCTAAAATTTATCCATCCATCTATCTATATCTATCTCTGTCTGTCTCTATCTATGTCTATCTCTTACTATATACATATCAATCTCTATCTATGCATCTCTATCTCTATATCTATCTGTCTTGATCTATCTATATGTATCTCTAATTAAATCTATCTCTAGCTGTTTATCTCTAATTATATCTATCTGTCTCTATCTGTTTATCTCTATCTGTCTTGATCTATCTATCTCTATGTATCTCTACCTCCATCCATCCATATATCTATGTATCCATTCATGTGATGGATGAATCCTGCTGATAAAAGACTTGCTTCAATCGATGGAGAGATTTCCATCCCAGTCAAAAGGATTGTACCAGGGAGGGAAACGAAGGAAAAGAGGAAGAAAACTTTTCAATGAATCATTAATCCACCAATTTAAAATCAATCAACATTTGGGGATTTCCTTAACTGATCATTTGTATCCCTAATATGAAACTTTAAACGCATCATATGCTGCATGAAAATGCTTCTGATTTGGCTTCTGATGGTCAAATGTTCAGATATCCAGTCACCATGAAGACAGAAAAACATGAGCTCCTTTAACGTCCCAGCTTTCTTTGTGGAAAGTTGTTGCAGATCTGTGGTTCAGATGGAATCCTGAGATGTTTGAAAAGCAAATCGGGGCCGACAGCCTGCATGAGCCATGGCATGATTGGTTAATGATCTACAGGTGTCAGCTGGAGCCGACCAGAACGGGTCCAAATCCCTGATTCCTCATTACCCGAGCAGCCGTTTGCTTTCTGAGGCAAACAGGAACGAGTCAAAGAGCGTGACGAGCAACGGTGTCAGCAACTATGTGACAGTTTGCAGCAGTTCCTCTTTCCTGTCCGACTCGGCCTCGGCCGCCTGATCCGATCCCTCAGGCCCTGCTCGGATTATTGGATCAGTGGTTCTAGCAGGCTGACGCAGAAACCCGAGTTACTGGACCGTGACTGGACCCTGAACCACAGGCTGACCCTGTCTCTGCCTGTGTTCCTGTTCAACGTGGGGAAATTTAACTGCTCCTCACTTCCTGCTCTGCTAACAGATTTAGCACTGAGGGATGAATCGAGGGTCGGTTAGCGATTTAATTCACAACACATGTCATTTCAAGGCACTTTACAGTTCACCAGATCATCCAGTCAGGTTGCAGACAGAAGCGGACATAGAAAAAGAAGCATAGATACAAAAGGCAACTCTAAAAGGCGGCCTCGTCCAGGAAACACACAGCCAGGCAGACGAGCTCCGAGCCAGCTCCCATGTCAGAGGATGAAGAGAGCACATCCAGTTAATCAC